GTGTGTGTGAGAGAGAGTGTGTGTGTGAGAGAGTGAGTGAGTGTGTGTGTACTGTGTGAGTGAGTGTGTGTGAGTGTGTGAGTGAGTATGTGTGTGTGAGAGAGAGTGTGTGTGTGAGAGAGTGAGTGAGTGTGTGTGTACTGTGTGAGTGAGTGTGTGTGAGTGTGTGAGTGAGTATGTGTGTGTGTGAGTGAGTGAGTGAGTGTGTGTGTGTGTGTGAGTGAGTGAGTGTGTGTGAGTGAGTGTGAGAGAGTGAGTGTGAGTGAGTGAGTGAGTGAGTGTGAGTGAGTGTGGGTGTGAGTGTGAGTGTGGGTGTGAGTGTGTGTGAGTGAGTGAGTGAGTGAGTGAGTGTGTGTGTGTGTGTCACCTGGCGTTGGGCGTGAGGCTGCGCAGCACGTGTGTAAGTGAACTGAGGGCCAGTGCTCCGGTCTGCTGCACCAGCAGTGAGTTCTCGTATGACGTCTCTTCAGTGTACGGCAGGTACGTGGTGGTTTCGTACCACAGCCAGTTGAACATGCTCATCTTCGCTTGATCCCAGACTGAGCAAACACAGACGAGGATAACATTACAAGCCCATAATACCAGTGATCAGCATCACCTAAAGCTGAAGCGTGAGACTGACTGAGTGTAGCGTTGATGTGGTCGATGGAGGCCAGCAGGTGCATGTTGGGAAGCGCCGCCAGCTGCCCCAGTGCCTGCTGGTTCCTGTCGCCCCTCAGCATGGGCCCGTCGATGTTATGGATGACCAGGAAGACGTGATTGCTCGGGTCTGGAAGACAAACACGCGGCTTACAGCCTGGAGACGATCAGAGGTGAGCTGAGAGACGTCACACATCAGCCTTACCCTCTCTGAGAGTTCTGATGATGAAGTCGATCTGGTCTGCAGGATTACGGAATGTTCCCTCGTGTCCGAACACGTCGCAGGTGAGGGAATTGAGGATCTGTCAGATTACAGCAGCATTCAGACGATGTCAATCAAAGCTGTTATCAAGGAACGCTATCAGCTGCTGCTGAGGACGCTTAAATATTTATCGTTATAGTTATTATAACCACTGGACCACAAAACAAGTCTTAAGTGTCAATTTTTCAAAATTGAGATGTATGCATCATCTGAAAGCTGAATAAATAGCTTTCCGTTAATGTATGGTTTGTTAAGATAGGACAATATTTGGCTGAGATACAACTATTTGAAAATCTGGAATCTGAGGGTGCAAAAACATCTAAATATTGAGAAAATCATCTTTAAAGTTGTTCAAATGAAGTTCTTAGCAATGCATATTACTAATCAAACATTAAGTTTTGATATATTTACGGTAGGACATTTACTAAATATCTTCATGGAACATGATCTTTACTTAATATCCTAATGATTTTTGGCATAAAAGAGAAATGTATAATTGTGACCCATACAATGTATTGTTGGCTATTGCTACAAATATACCCCAGCGACTTAACACTTTTTTTGTGCTGCAGGGACACAAATAGTTATCGTTATACTTGCAGTTATCATGATATTTATCACTGAAGTCATTGTGATATTTATCGTTATCGTTTTTATACTTAGTTATCATGATATTTATCATTAAAGTTATATAGTTGCCATTATCGTTATAGTTAGTTATTATATTTATCGTTTTATTTTTTTATTTATTGTTATAGTTACAGTTATCATGATATTTAGCGTTATAGTTAGTTATTATAGTTGTTAGTTATCGTTAGTTACAATGATGATATTTATCATTAGTTATATTTATCGTTACAGATATCACTATTTTTTCATTACAGTTATCATTTGTTATTGTTATCTTTATATTTATCATTATTGTTAGCATTAGTTATTATTTTTTATAGTGATATTTATTGTTAGTTCAGTATCACTATATTTTTTGTTATATTATTAGTCATTGTTATTATAGTTAGAGCTATCTTTATATTTATCGTTATTGTTATAGATAGCGTTTCAGTTATCATAATATTTATAGTGAGTGTTATATTTAATGTTATAGTTATCAGTTTTTTTATGTTTTGTTATATTTATTGTCATAGCTACTGTTACAATTATCGTTATATTTATTGTTAAAGTTACCATTACATTTTGTATCATTACATACCTTTGTAGTTATTAACTTATGCAAAGTTATTATATTTATAGTTTTAGTTATAGTTTGTGGCACGAACGGGACTTAGACAGTGAACAAACTGAAACATTCACACTGAGTTTGTTATATTAGTCGATATCACAGTCATAACGACTGCTGTTTTGTCACATGATGCTTTCACTGTATGACAAAAGCAGCATGAAGGTTGCGCATAACATCTGTTTTCACAATGACAGAGGATTCATGTGTGCGTGAGAGAAGCACAGAAGCAGCGAACGAACCGATTTGAGGGTCATACTGGGGAAGAAGCCATTGACCACCACATGATCGTAGTCAGAAAGCATGGATGTGCGGAACTTCTCCAGCAAGAGCTTCTTGGAGCCCAAACCGTAGATCAAGATGTTAAAGCCCATGCTGAAATATTCGTGAACGGAGAAACACAAGATGAATATGTGCATCTTCATCATCCTCACACACACACACTCACTCACTCACACACTCACACGCACGCACGCGCGCGCACGCACGCACACACACACACACACACAGACACACTCAACTGCAGCTGCAGCATCCACTGGTTGAAGTTCTTCTCGTGTTTTGCATTGAGCTGTTTAATTTCCTCTGCGAAGCGTGGCTGGTTTTTACCCAAGAGGCTGAGCAGAGTTTCCTATAAAACACAATCAAACACCTCCGTTAGATCTCAAACAGATCCCACAATCACAGACAGATGAAGATCACTGACCCGGTCCAGTTTGGGCGTCTGGAGTTTCTGGAGGGTCCGATCGGACGTGAGAACCTTAGAGCTGCTGTGAGCTTCAAAATACTCCTCCACCAGATCAGACTGCAGGAGAACAACCACACAACAAGAGAGACGTTCAGAGTAGACTTGATATTTTCTGAAGTTAAAACAACGGAAATGCAAAACGTGCTGCTGTAATGCTACACTGGAAAAAAATTCGGTGGAGAAAGAATTTTCACTCAGAAATTGCTGGTAACTTTTAAAAATAAGTACAAAGAAATGGAAGTAACACTAAATTCAATAAGAAATTTTTAAGTTAGAAACGTCAATAATTTGTAGGGCTAGGGCTGTGCAATTAATCGAAATACAGTTTCGATTTCGGCCTCCAACGATTATGAAAATACAATAATCGAGATGAAACGATTATTGCAACCCATTCCACTCTCTTTCCAGCGGTGCGCTTTCGCTCCTCCATAAATCCCAATTTCACGCGCAAATCAGTAAAATCATGTAACGTGACTTTTGCAAAATGGGACGTGCTTGATTTATTTAAGTTGATTAGATGTATTCATGTTTTTAAAAGCGCGAAATAGAACTTGCGCTGTTCCTCAGGAGGATTTCTGTGGATGCGCTCAGAACACGAACATAAAAGTAATCTTTTAACTCAAGGTGCGCACCTACCCTCGTCGGTCATGTAATAAATAAACGTAAACAGTTGAGAATGAAAATACGTGTGTAACAGTAAATTGAATCAGTGCGGCTCTTAAAGTGACAGCAGCCTAATCTTCCTGCTGCGACTGTGTGCTTAATATTAATCAAACAACAAAGACAGACAAAATCACTCACTTTTTGTAGCTTTAATAAGTAACAAATTAAGTTTAATTCTTACAGTGAAGACTATGTTGTTTTATTTTAAATGAGATTATTCATATATGTCGATCGCTATGTTTAAATAAATAATTCATTTAAGGTTTTGGTCATATGGCCCATTTATAATCATGTTAAATAATCCTGATTACAATATTGACCAAAATAATCGTGATTATGATTTTTGTCATAATCGACCAGCCCTATCCCACAAAGACCAGCCGTTAACGATCTGTCCGACACGGACTGCATGACTTCGCCACTTCCTGTGGATTTTTTGTTGGTTTTTCCTCAACTAGCGACTAATAAAAAATTTGGCCAACCAAGTCTCTTCTCGTCAACTAATGGTTAGCCGACTATTAGGGGGCAGCCCTAATAATTTGTTTGATTTACAACTTAAAAAAAAATAAAAAATTACATTGTAGGTTGTTTAACATTTATGTTTATCATTATAGTAGCATTTATCACGTTATCGTTAAATTGGTCATTACAGCTAAATTCATCTGTCACTGTTAAATTTGTCATTATAGCTGTTTATCAGTTATCGTTAAATTTCTTATAATAGCTACGGTATGTTTGTCAGTTAACGTTAAATTTATCATTATAGTTACGATTATGATATTTATCTTTCAATTTGCCATTATAGTTACATTTGTCAGTTATTGTTAAATTTGTCATTATAGCTATATTTATCATAGTTATCATTAAATTTGTCATTATAGCTGTTTATCACAGTTAACGTAAAATTTCTTATAATAGCTACGTTTGTCAGTTAACGTTAAATTTGTCATTATAGTTACGTTTATGATCGTTATCTTTCAATTTGCCATTATAGTTACATTTGTCATTACAGCTACATTTATCATAGTTATCGTTAAAATTGTCATTACAGCTACATTTATCATAGTTATCATTAAATTTGTCATTATGGCTACGTTTATCACAGTTAACGTAAAATTTCTTATAATAGCTACGTTTGTCAGTTAACGTTAAATTGTCATTATAGTAACGTTTATGATAGTTATCGTTAAAATTGTCATTACAGCTACATTTATCATAGTTATCATTAAATTTGTCATTATGGCTACGTTTATCACAGTTAACGTAAAATTTCTTATAATAGCTACGTTTGTCAGTTAACGTTAAATTGTCATTATAGTAACGTTTATGATAGTTATCATTAAAATTGTCATTATGGCTATGTTTATCATAGTTATCGTTAAAATTGTCATTATAGTTACGTTTATCATTGTTATCGTTAAAATGGTCTTTATAGCTACATTTATCATAGTTATCATCAAATTGGTCATTATTGCTACGTTTGCCATAGTTAACGTTAAATTTGTCATTAGATTTAGGAGTTATATTTCAATTTATCATAGTTACGCTTGTCAGTTATTGTTAAATTTATCATTATAGCTACGTTTATCATACTTATCGTTAAATTTATCATTATAGCTACATTTATAATAGTTGTCGTTAAATTTTCATTATAGCTACGTTTGTCATAGTTATCGTTAAATTTGTCAGTTTAGTTCTTGATAGTTATCGTTAAATTTGTCATTATAGCTACGTTTATGATAGTTATCCTTAAATTTGTCATTATAGTTACTGTTATTATTATAGTTATCATTTTATAAGTTTCATTTATCATTACAGCTTTTGTTATTACATTTATTATAATATTTAATATAGTAGTTACTACAGTTACTGTTATTATATTACTTACTGACTTACAGGTTGCTAGGGTGTTGAGGGTGGTTGCTAAGGTGTTTTAAGTGCAAGAAACAGGTTCTCACCTCTGCTGCTTTCTTGCCCTTCTTACTGGGCGTCTTATAGAGCGCAGCAGCGGACGTGTTTTTACTGGGTGTTTTGGGCTGGTCGACCCTCTTCCCCTCGTGTTCTTCAGCATCATCATCATCCTCAGAGTTCGAGGGGGAGAAATCGCTCTCGCTGTCTGAACGCAGGTTCGGAGCTGCATAATAATTACGACAAGTAACACGTTAATAGATGAAACGGACACCTGTGAGAGCCACGGATGACGAGAAACAGGAAATTAGGGCTGCCCTCGACTAAAGATTTTTCTGGTCGACTAGTAGTCGTTCATTTTAAGCATTAGTCGACTAATCTCACATTTATTAATAAACAATTTAAATCATTATAATAAGACTTAAATTGCTTACAAAGCCTAATAAGCGCTCAAGCACACGCATAAAGCTTGTTCACGGAGACCGAGACGGCAGAAAGCACATCTTGTTTGCTTTGATTATTTTACAAAAGCGCAATGTTTCGTTGTTATTGTGAGTGCAAACAAATAAACATCAGAATTGAGAGATAAACTCGCAATTGCAATTTCAATTCAGAGGAAAAAGACAATTTTCGTACAATTTTTGTTTATATTTTGAGTTATCACCAATTTTGAGGGGAAAAAAAACAATTGTGAGAAGTCGCAGTTGCAAGAAAAAAAAAATCTGAATTATGAGATAGTCGCAATAAGTCAGAATTGCGAGACAAAAAGCAGCAATTCTGAGAAGAAAATTCAGAATTGAGATAAAAAGTTGCAATTGCGAGAAGTCACAAATCGTGAGAAAAACTCAATTGCAAAAAAAAGTCCGCAACGTAAGATACAAACTCGCAGTTGCGAGAAAAAAGTCAGAATTTTAAAAACAATTCTGAGGGAAAGAAAAGTCTGAATTGTGAGATAGAAAGTTGAATGACCTTTTTTATTTTTATTCAGTGGCGGAAACAAGCTTCCATACAAAACAGTATTAAAAGTGAATTATCTTTTTTTTTTAATCATATTTTCCTCATGCAAAATGTAATTTCTTGTGAGTGAAACAGGAGCTGGATATTTCTTGGTCTTGTTGGCGTTTTACGCGGTCAGATTTCTCTGCTTCATCTTAACTTAAACATATGAACTATCTACAGGCTCCTCATAAATCACCAACAAAACCACGAGTGTGTGAATAAAAACTGTCCTGTGTCGAGTAAACGTTTCTGTTGTGGTGTGACGCTCATCTCTGGTCCTCCAGGTGCACTTCCTCTGCAGACAGGAAGACCAGCTACTGCAGGTAGACGAGTCGACCGCACCTCTTTCTTCCCATTGGATGCCCGACGCTCCCTGGCCCCGGCCCCGCCCCGAGTCTCACTGAGACGCCTGTGAGGTGGGGTTGTCGTTCTTGCCCTCCTGGCTGGATGGAGGCTTGTTGTTCCAGGGGCTGTTGGCTCCCAGCGTGGGCGAGTTGTTAAAGCTGTCCTCGTCGTCGATGCCGTTAGCTGCATCGAACTGCGTGTTCTCCAGCCGCGTGATCAGACGCTCGTCCTCGTCCCCGAACTCACCGCCCATCAGCGTAGGCTCGCCCACCACCATCACATCCTGAGCACACCAAAACAGACCATTAGCATTAGAAACGCCATTTAGGGGGGAAAAATTGGTTATATGTGTATATAGACTAAATTCTCTCTCTTACCTACCTGCAAAGCTTCCTGAAAAACTATGAGCAAGTGCACCGAGGGCAAAACCTGCTTTAAACGCAAAGGATGCTCACACCAAATGTTGACTGATTTATGACATTATTTTTGACAGCATCCTCATTTTACAGCATTTCTACACAAGTGCCTAAAACTTTTAACAGTACTGTAGCTTTGCAGGAGGTTTCTAGAAGCGTCAGTTCTTCTGGATTGAGTCTGTCTCAGTGTGTTGTGTTTCTTCATGTGACTCCAGACAGACTGATGATGATCAGATCACATCTCTGTCTGTGTGCAGCACTAACATATATCTCACTGCATTAGTACAGTTAATGACAAATGAATGTTTGGAAATGTAAACTGATATTTCCTACTGACACACTACAGCAAAAGATAACTGACTTATTTCATGTCATTATCTCATCTTGCTGGATCTGTCTGCTGCTTTTGACACAGTTAACCACCAGATCCTCCTGTCCACCCTCATGAAGATGGGCATCTCAGGAACCGCACTCCTGTGGTTCAAGTCTTACCTCTCAGATAGGTCCTTCAGGGTGTTTTGGAGGGGTGAGGTTTCTAAGTCACAACTTCTTGCTAATGGGGTTCCTCAAGGTTCAGTGCTTGGACCCCTTCTTTTCTCCATCTACATGTCATCTTTAGGATCCATCATTCACAAGCATGGCTTTTCCTATCATTGCTATGCTGATGACACAACCTTACTTCTCATTCCAACTAGATGATCCGACAGTAGCTGCTCGCATTGCAGCCTGTCTGACAGACATTTCTGTTTGGATGAAGCATCATCACCTTCAACTCAACCTTGCTAAGACAGAACTGCTCGTGGTCTCAGCCAACCCAGCACTTCATCACAACCTCTCTATACAGCTAGGTTCGTCAACCATAACTCCTTCGAGGACAGCCAGGAACCTTGGAGTTGTGATTGATGATCAGTTAAGCTTCACAGACCATATTGCTACAATGGCCCGGTACTGCAGGCTTGCCTTATACAACATTAGGAATAGGCATATATAATTTGTGTGTATGTGTTACGATATAACTAACGAGGTCATAATCAGAAGACAATGAAACCGAAACCAAATAGCATTGAAACAGAAAGTGAAGTAAACAGAAGAGAATGACAAAATAACGGTCCACATAACAGAACATAATCCTGACAATAAGATCGTTAGGCTATCGTTAGCCTATATGTATAGCAGTTAGCCTAGTTGTAATCTGATTTTCTAATCTGACTGGACAAGAGACTTTCTATTGATATTTCCACCTGCGCGCGCGTTCTAGACGGCTGTCAGTCAGTGCAGTTACAGTGTTGCGCCACAAGGTGGTGGACTACACGTTCAAAAACGCCGATTCATTAATTCAAAGAGGCGTAATGAAACACGCTGTTGAAATCATTTTAACTTTGAGCGCCACTGTAGAAGGCTCAGCTGACCAGCTATGCATCGATGCTAAGAGATTTCGCTTTCCTTGGACATGACAAACTATTTTCACAAATATGACTCGGCCTGGAGGACAGACGCAAGTAATCGCACACGCTCAGTCGATCTCTCTCTCATTCACTGTCTGTTTAGGCTTGTTAAGTGCAAATCAGCATGGTACACATTATGTTATCATTACTAACTTGTTTAATATTCAATCCACACGCATGAAGTGTAAAACGAGAAGGGCATAATCTTACGAAAAAATAAAACACGGAAAAATCGCGGTTGCTGCGGTTCTTGCATTCCTCTGCGGTTTGCTCGTCAATAGCACGGTATTGCGATATTGCGGTTATCGTGACAGCCCTATATTTAAGTTATCTGATTAATATCATGCGAAGTGTCATAGAACGGGCTTCAGTTTATTGGCATAAAGTCACTCTTTAGCATCACCCCAGGCAGCTATCCCTCTTTTAGAGGCTTCTTTTTTAATAACATTGCTGCATCATAATTATAATCTAACAGTGTTCTAATCATGTGTTCATGTTCTCATAGACAGGTTTTCATGTCATATTTTTATTTTAAAAACATTTATTTTCATAACGGTCTTCAGATATTTTCATTATCTCCATTACGGCCATGACACGTGATTGGTTACTCACTGGGACCTGACTGGACAGCGGGAAACTGTTTGCTGGGCTCTTCTTCTTGCTGTTGCTGTTGTTATTGGTCCCGCCGCCGGCGCTCATGTTGCTGCCGCCCGACATCTTGCGCTTCCGTCTCTTACTCGGCGCCTGTCTGGCCGGCTCAGCTGCGGAGAGATGCGACACACACGAGCTCAAGCACACGCTACACAAACACCAGCAGAGTCTCTGAGAGACACAAGCGCCTCCTGACCTGGAGGAGCCACCATCCTCTGCCACTTCTGGAACAGACACGTCTTCAGACAGTCTCTGGGACTCAGACTGTACGTCTTGTGTCTGGACATCAGCTCCTGCATGGGCTCCAGGATCACACACAACTGAGACCGAGACGCACAAAAAGACACGTTACTAATAGGGCTGTCAAGCAATTAAAATGTTTAATGCAATTGATTACATGCTGTGCCGATTAATCTAAATACTTGCAAATTAACTGGACATCAATTTGGGCTGCGAAATTACCCCACAAAAGATCCTTTACAGTCATTATTGTGTTAGATGAGAAAAGCACTGAATAAACATGAAAAAAAGTAACTTTAAAAATAAATATTTTGATTCAACCTAGCATTTAGGTGTATTTACACAGACTGAATTAGAATTGCACGAATAATGCTGAATGGGTTTTAAATGGGCATTAATGGGTTTAAAAAATTTTAATATGAAATTAGTTTTCTTTTAATGTGCCAGTATGTGACAGCGAGGCGCTGTCTTAATGAGGGAGTCATTCAGTCATTCATTCAACTGATTTGTTCAAACAGCTGATTCATTCAGATGAAGCAAGTCTTAATGAAGGAGTCATTGAATCATTGACTAAATTCAATTAAACAGCTGATTCATTCAGAAATGAAGCAAGAGACTGTTCTTTATGAATGAGTCAGTGACTCACTTGTTCACTTGATTTGCTCAAAACTATGGATTTATTCAGTAATGAATCACTGCTGTGTTGATCAGATGCACAACAGTTCTGCTTTGTCTTGAATTTTAGAGGTATACAACTGTATTCTGCTTCATCATGCAGTCAGTCGTCCTGCATCATGTTTGTTAACAATGTAAGATGATGTACAGGTCTGGCAGGTGAGTTAAATGCGTTAATCATTTTAACACATCATTTTTTCCATAATTAATCGCACCAAATTAATGTGTTAAATCGACAGCCCTAGTTACTAATCAGCTGAATGAAAGCTGTAGAAGACGTCAGTGTTGTGTTATGGTGTTCGTACTCGGAGGTAGTTGAGGGTGGAGTTTGACAGGCCGCATCTGGTGATGTTTTTGGACAGCTGATCCAACATCTGCGGGTCCTGAGCCTGAGACGGACACAAAATCACACCATCATCAGGTATGAAACACCAGATAGAAGAAGAAACGCTGTGAGATGCAGGAAGAGGAACTGACATGCATGGCCAGGATGCTGCGGGGAATGAGCTCCCTGTGCTGCCGGATGCTGAAATGCCACGTCTTTATTCTCATCATGTCATCGAACATGAACTCCAAGTACAGACGGCCCTCCACACACACCTGAGGAGACCAGCAGAGTTACACACACACACCACAGAAACATCCCGCTGAACTAGGGCTGCACAATAAATCGAAATGAAATCGCAATCGCGATTAGGCTAAAGCTGCATAGGGCTGGGACAACAAATCGATGCATCGCGATTCGTGGATGGATTCTGATATTTTCAGAATGCATCGTGATTCTCTCTCGAATCGATTCTGAGCTTAGTTTTTAACAGCAGATGGCGCTCTAGGTTAGTTTTTAACCACACACTCAAATGCTCACGAAGAAGAGCGCTTGTGCATTCGGCTGAGTAATGTAAGTGGTTAAATGTACTTCCACATCAGCTTTTATGATGCGAGATTAATGTAAACACAGCCCATTGTGAACATCCTTGTAATTCGCTTCAAACTTTTCGAACTTTATGAATCATTATTTTAGGTGGTGCGTGTATAAGGAACTGTCAGCAAGCAGAATACAGCTATTTCTAAAGCACGCAGTGCCATCTGCTGTTAAAAACTAAGCTCAGAATCGATTCAAGAGAATTGCGATGCATTTGCAAAATCTCAGAATCGATGCGGAATCATTTCTCGATTCACGATGCATCGATGTATTGTCCCAGCCCTAAAGCTGCAATTGTCGTGCGCATCTTGTCAGTGAAGCACGGTTCTGTGATCAGCAGTAAGAGCTCTATCTGAAGGCCAGAGAAACTCCAAATACACCTCGCAGAAGAAATCCAGGAAATCCCTATCGCAGCAGCTGAATAAACAGAAGATTTAACTGCTTTCATTGATTCAGCATGACTAATAAACACAGGACTACCACAATATATGATTTATCCGAGTTCTTATTAGAATGATCATTTTAACAAAGTATATAATAATGCAATGCCTTTATCACTGCTTAGAATACTATGAAATATGTTGTGTGCCTTATTCTGTGTAAGAAAACACATCATCTCACAGAAGGATTTATTTCAAACACTCGACAGACGTTATGAAGCGAGTTTGGAGTAAAAACATGTTATTAAATGTGGTATTTTTCAGATGAAGCAGCATTTAATACACAGAGCCGTAGTTCACTGAGAAGCTACGCAAACAGCTTTCATAATCGCAGAATGATTTCTTCGATTTCATAATCGCATGATTAAATCATCTGAATGCGATTTTTGCGTAGCTTGTCAGTGAACTACAGCTCTGTGTAGTAAACGCTGCTCCATCTGAAAGCACGTGCTGGAGATTTACTACGAATCACAAAACCGGCTTTACTGACGAGATGCACATGACAGTCGCATTCGATTAATCGTGCAGCCCTACGCTGAACGTCATATTAAACATCACACACACCTGTGTGAACATGGGTTTGCCGTTCTGCGTGACCATCGTACACTGATCACAGTCCAGAGACACAAAGTTGCTGTGGAAGGACTCTTTAGGGTGCTTGAGAATGTAGTAGAGCTCAGTGGCGCCGCCTTCAAACACACTCCTAAAGTAACGAGGAATCAGCGTCCGGCCGATCGCTGTGAGACACAATAAGGAGGACAAGGAACCAATTTAATTCTTAAACATACTGGTTGTTATTTCATGAGAATCTGTAACTAAATGTGAACAGTTGACAGTTACTGTGCCATTTAGTGTGTTTTCATAATTCCGATAAATAACTCAAACCTTAATTACAGCTGGTAATGTTTGTCTCAAGCAATCCGATCATTCAAACCAAATTCAGACGTTGCATCATATTTGAAGTGCAAATGATAACATAATTTGCTAAATGAAATACAATACTAGTTTCTTGCTAATTTTGAGGTGTTGATTCCAAAAATAGTATGTTTTGCTCAATCATGTCATACATTTGTACAAAATATTATGCATTTTGTAGCATTTCTGTTTTTGACAACCATTTGTGCAGTGAAGTCTTATATTGTCCTTAATCAACAGAAAAGCACCACAGACGCATGATTCTGGTCTGAATTTCTTTTAATTTAACTTACTTTACAGCACTTTGGTCAACTTAGTGGTTTTATTAGGTGCTTTATAAATAAAGTTGGGGTTGGAGAATTTAAGCCAGATCACAACTTTGCTAAATTTTCACATGCAGGACAATCACATGCATTATTTAATGCCTAATCCTGATTTCAAGCACAGAATTATGGCCAGTGAAAGTGCAAACGTGAGCCAGATGTTTTCTGCTGCATCTGCAAGACTCTTACAGCATCCAAACAAATTACAAATTTTGAACCAAAAAAAAAAATTATAATAATAAATAACTTATTTTCTAAAGTTTGTGACATTAAATTAACAGATTTTCCCACTCCTTTGTAGATTGTAAGTTAAATGTTACATTTTGAATATTTATTTTTGTCATTAAAACTTTGACATCTGACTGCTTTTGTTATTTTGATAAGTGCATTAAAGCTGATACATATAAAATTTGAAGTTCTAGTATTTTTTTTACTCAATGGCATGAGTAACATGCACACTAAATATTTTTTTAGAGTTGTAAATTAAACAAAACTTTTTTTTTTTACAAGAAAGTACTACTTCAGTTTTCCTACTTCAAAATTTCACATTTAATTCAATGTGTTACTTGCCTTTTTTGTAATTATTTGTGAAATTTACTAACAATTTCTAAATGAAAACTGTTTCAAAGTAAATCCTACACATTTTTTTCAGTGTAGTCATGAGTTACATGGTAAGTGCAAACGGTCTCAATAGACCACTTGCGATCGGATCACCTGACACAGATCTTAATATCAGGCCTAAATGTCTCTAGATACATTTATTGAGAATCATTTAACACAAACATCTTTAAACGTCTGATAAGTGATACTCACTGTATCGTTTAGGACCGTCCTCCAGACAAAACGTGATGGTGAGCATAGCGTCATCCTCAAAGAATTCAGTAGTGAAAGAGTCCCACCACAGATTATCACACTCCTGAGAGAGAAAAACAGTAAGAGACGGCTCTCTGATATCATTCATCTGAAGCCGATAGATGTTTCTGTGCTAGCGTTATAGGGTTTATGTCAGGCATATCAAAAGCACCTTAAATTATTAAAATGCTTAAAGTGCTGATAGTTAAGACTGAGAAAGACAGAGCTATAAATCTAAACAGAAAAGCAGATCCGCCTCACCTCTGTCCAGTTCTGAAGCCGCTTATTGAGTTCAAATATCCTGTAGTCTGTCTGATTCCCGTAAGGTGTGTGTCTCCTGAGAAATACAGACTGTTTTAACACTCACAGACAAACACTGAGACTTCATGAACTTTATATACACTAATAGAGTCATCATAGTAGGGCTGTCAAAAAAAAAATAATCGAATTTCGAATATTCGTCGAATTTAAAAAAAATCGTTTTTGCATTCGAATTTTAGGTCTGTGTCAGCCGTCACAGTGGCGCACGAAATGCAACGACGATGTAAGTGTCATTGCATTTTAATGCTTTTGTTAGCCTGGCCAGTTGAACCTTTTTATACAGTCTATGAGTTGAACCCACTAGATGGCGCTGCTGCGTTCTTCATTCATATATTGCGGAAAACGAGTGCATCAGTGTGGAGATGTTGTTGTTTACGTCAAAACTGAAACCAAGCCATTCACACAGAACGCATATTTATCACATTTTCTAGAGGGACATCTATCAGCGTTGCACTCGTGTCTCGCACGAGACAGCCGCATGTTTAGAAAGCCATGTAAAATTAATGTAAGTTCCACTTTTAAAAAACATGTCTCAAGACTTTATGGCGGTTTTCCCCATCCCACTGTATCTCATCTTTTTAAATGAAGAAAGTAGCCGACTCTTTGCGATTGTTTTTCGGTCCCTTGTATTAAACTACACATACATGCATGGTGCTGTTTTTTGTTCTAATTGTTTAAGCAACTTTATTAATTATATATGGTTTATAAACATTATTTGTAACATTATGCGCTTTTTTTTCAAAGATAGTCGTGTTATTTTATTACGCTTTGAAGAAACGTGCATATTTTGCTCGATGCGCCCACTTGTGGCCTCAGGAGAGAAGCCAAAAGCTTTTTTCGAATATTGATAATATTTAAGTAGAAAATTTGAATTTAGTTTTTGTCATTTTGACAGCCCTACATCATAGTGCTTATAATAATAAATATCCTAACATAGAACCTGCATGTTTTAACAGCTACAGTATCACGTTTGATACTCAAGGCCTCTAAATGATCAAACTTTGCTGTTAAACCTGTTTTAAAACCTCTTTTAGTGTAATTGTACAAACGTTCAGCTTCAGCTGGAGCTTCTCGTGTCAAATCTGGACTGGTTTTGATCAAGTAAGCGTCAGAATAACTGCAGCAATATCTCCAGATGAACTCTTACTGGACTGAAGCAGCTCAGCTTTACTTGATTCTCCATCAATCATGTTTTAGAGTCTCAAATCTGATCCTCAGGATCTTTTGAGGAGCGTTTGTTTCCAGAAGCTTTACTTTCACTGTTCCTCAGCGGAGGAATGATCTTCACAAGCCTCCAGAACATCTCACATCTTCTGAGGAGCCTTTATTTCTTCAGCTCTCAATCACTGCATTATATGTTTGGAGCATTTCACTCTCATCTTACTGAGACACATTACTGCAGATATAGAGACGACTGATATTTAGATCATTTTATGTCAGTATCTGCTCTACTGTTAGAAAGATCTCATTGATTTACAAGCATCAGAATTTCATCAGAAATATCAGCATCTGCACCCAAGTCATATTTCTGCTCAGTTCGAATCTCTGAATAAAATTGAGCTGTTTTTATTGGTTTTGATTGCTTCCATAGTCCTCATTTGTAAGTCGCTTTGTATAAAAGCATCTGCTAAATGACTAAATGTAAATGTCTCACCCGATGCCTGGCTCCAGGTATGTGGGGGGATACATGGGTGTCGGGCTGCAGAAACAACACAAAGCAAATAACCATGAAAGATCATGTCAAACCTCACAAAGCTCACATAACATGCTTTATAAACGCACACACGAGGTCATAAAGCAGACTGTAACACGTCCAGACAGTGTGAAGTGAGCAAGTGCAGTTCTCTACCTGCAGGCACCATCACAGTCAGGAAGAGAGTCGTTTTCTGCATTTATCAGTGTGCCAGAGTAGATATGACACCCGCTAGACTTTACTGCCCTGCCACAAGGGAAGCCCCACCCACTTCCTGGACACTGATTGACAGCTGGCACTTCCTGCTCCCGCTATCTGACAGAAACATCCACTGACTGCTGATGCAGCTGAACGCTCTTCTGTCCTCACAGACGCTCACAGGAACATCACAAGTGACTGATTTGAAACACTCCATTAACGGCCACTCATACACATCATAAATTATTCTTTGTGGATAGTTTTTAGTACTATATATTAGGACTGTGCAATTAATCAAAATACAGTTTCGATTTCGGGCTCCAATGACTATGAAAATACAATAATCGAGATAAAACTATTATTGCAACCCATTCCACTCTCTTTCCAGCGGTGCGCCTTCGCTCCTCCATAAATCCCAATTTCACGCGCAAATCAGTAAAATCATGTAACGTGACTTTTGCAAAATGGGACGTGCTTGATTTAAGTTGATTTTAAAACGCAAAAGAGAACTTGCGCTGTTCCTCGGGAGGATTTCTGTGGATGCACTCAGAACACGGACATAAAAGTCATCTTTTAACTCAAGGTGCGTGCCTAAAGGATCAAATACACGCTAAAAATGTGTCAAAATGCGGCGCTTAGTGGTTATTCACGTAAACCCTCGTCGGTCATGTAATAAATAAACGTAAACAGTTGAGAATGAAAATACGTGTGTAACAGTAAATTGAATCGGTGCAGCTCTTAAAGTGACAGCAGCCTAATCTTCCTGCTGCGACTGTGTGCTTAATATTAATCAAACAACAAAGACAAAGACAATCACTCACTGCTCTTGATTGAAGGATTTTTTGTAGCTTTAATAAGTAACAAATGAAGTTTAATTCTTACAGTGAAGACTATGTTGTTTTATTTTAAATTAGATTATTCATATATGTGACCCTGGAGCACAAAACCAGTCATAAGGGTCAATATTTCGAAATTGAGATTTATGCATCATCTGGAAGCTGAATAAATAATCTTTCCACTGATGTATAGTTTGTTAGGATCAGACAATATTTGGCTGAGATACAACTATTTGAAAATCTGGAATCTGAGGGTGCAAAAAAATCTAAATATTGAGAAAATCATCTTTAAAGTTGTCCAAATGAAGTTCTTAGCAATGCATATTACTAATCAAACATTAAGTTTTGATATATTTACGGTAGGACATTTACTAAATATCTTCATGGAACATGATCTTTACTTAATATCCTAATGATTTTTGGCATAAAAATTTTTTGGTTAGTGTGCATCAATTAAAGCAGCGCATTAATATAGACTGACTTGGAACTACCGGTACATTAAATGGTTTTACTGCATACCTGCCAGCCAATCAGATTCCAGTATTCAGATAAATATATATATAGATTGCTATCTTTAAATAAATTATTCATTTAAAGTTTTGGTCATATGGCCCACTCATAATCGTGATTACAATACTGACCAAAATAATCGTGATTATAATTTGTGTCATAATCGAGCAGCCCTACTATATATTTATAAGTGAGTTATAATATGCCTTGATTCTGAGCTGACACTGCTTTTGAAACAGACGGACTCACCCCACGTCTCTGTCCAGCATGGTGCCGGGGTGGAAGGGGGGGAAAGCGCTTCCGTTGGGGGGCTCCTTTGGGGAGTACAGCTTGAACGACTTGGAGGAACAGCCTGCGCGAGGAGAGAGAGAGAGATGCACATGTTCAACATTCATTAGTCAAACATCAGGAGAATTGAATGAATTCACATTCATATCAGTACACAGAGACACTAAAACTTCCTTAAGAGTGGGAAATATCACAGACACGCATCCTCAAGTGGTTTAATACTTTTATAAATGGTCGCAACAACTCTAAAATAATTATTTGTTCATTACAAATAATTACAATAAAAGCGATGCAATAAATACAATATGGTTGATTAGCCTAATTGTAGGATTTGTAGTTTTGCAAAATCACCAAGGCTGCATTTATTTGATCAAAATACAGTACAAATTGAGACATGTTATTATAATTTAGCTGTTTTCTATGTGAGTATGTGTTAAACTAATGTATTTCTGTGATGTGCAGCTGTATTTTCAGCATCATTCCTCCAGTCTTCAGTGTCACATGATCTTCAGAAATCAGTCTAATATGCTGATCTGCTGCTCGAGAAACATTTCTGATTAAATTACAATAAAAGCGATGCAATAAATACAATATGGTTGATTAGCCTAATTGTAGGATTTGTAGTTTTGCAAAATCACCAAGGCTGCATTTATTTGATCAAAATACAGTACAAATTGAGACATGTTATTATAATTTAGCTGTTTTCTATGTGAGTATGTGTTAAACTAATGTATTTCTGTGATGCGCAGCTGTATTTTCAGCATCATTACTCCAGTCTTCAGTGTCACATGATCTTCAGAAATCAGTCTAATATGCTGACTATTAGAAACATTTCTGATTATTATCAATGTTGAAAACAGTTGAGCTGCACAATATTTTTGTGGAAGCTGTGATACATTTCATTTTTCAGGATTCACAGATGAATAGAAAGTTCAGAAGAACAGCATTTATTTGAAATAGAAATCTTTTGTGGCATTATGAATGTATTTACTGACACTTTTGATCAATTCAATGCATCCTTGATAAATAAAAGTATTAATTTCCTTTTTTTCTTAAATATTTCTTACTTCAAACTTCTGAATGGTAATATATCACTGTTTCCACAAAAGTATTGGGCGGCACGACTGTTTTCAACATTGATAATAATCAGAAATGTTTCTAATAGTCAGCATATTATACTGATTTCTGAAGATCATGTGACACTGAAGACTGGAGGAATGATGCTGAAAATACAGCTGCGCATCACAGAAATACATTACAGTCTAACACATATTTACAGTAGTTTTGATCAAATAAATACAGCCTTGGTGAACAGAAGAGACTTCAGGCTATTCCAGTGCTGCATGCTGATTGTTCCAGTTATACTAATACACAGAGATGCTGATTTTGAATGGTCCTTTAGTGTGTGTGTGTGTGTGTGTGTGTGTATAAAGACCCTAAAGCAGTAAAGACCCTCCATAAACAGAGCACAGGGGCAGAGGTCAGCCACACCCTTCACCGTCTCCATCCCGCCAATTAAACACATCTATAACATGATGCATTCAGCCACAATGAGGTCACGACCCCTGTTGTCGCGGGAACAGCTCCGCCTCATAATGACCGCTTGACGTGTCTCGCAAATAAATCTGAGAGCTGTCAACGTCACGGCTCACAATAAAACGGAGGGCGATATGGCACAGCAAGACTCTTTAATTTAATTACACAAACAATACAAGAATGAAGGTGAAAAAGAACATTTAGTCATTTCACAGCAGCACTCAAAAACAGGTACTGTATTCTGGAGATCACTGAAAATAATATAAAATTACATTAAAATAAAATAAATAAATACATAAAGAAATGTATGAAATGTATTTATGAAATGTGTGCAAATAAATAAAATATAATAAAATAAATGTGCACAAATAAAATATTTTTAATTATATTGATAAAAAATATATTAAAAAATTACATATAATATAAATAATATATAAAATGTGTATATATATATGTAATATAAAAAATATATATAACAGTCTTATTTTATAGATATTTTTAAAGAAAGTATTGGTAAAACAATTATGAATACATATTTATATAATAGAAATAATACATACATTTTACAATTTATATATATATATATGTATATATGGATGGAGAGAGAGATTTACTATTTAAAAATATATATTTATTATTATTACAAGGCTCGAAATTGCGACCACTTGGGTCACATATGCTCCCGAAATTTAATCTGTGTGACCTCGAAATATATTTGGGAGCATTTGTGCGAGTGCATATAATTGTTGTCGTGCTAAAAATGTAAGTATGTGCCTTCTGTGTGTTGATACGGTGACCTGTCTGCCGCTCTATGAAACGTTAGGCTACTTAACCAATTAAACTTTACATTTACATTTATCTTTACATTCTTAACTTTAATGCAGACTTTAGATTGGTTAATATTAGCTGTCAATCACCCAGTCACTGCTTTCCGCTGTCAGGTGACAGGGAGCTAACTACCGCGGGGAATGTAAAGGGCTGAAGAAGAGAGAAAATTAAAAAAGAAACACTGACAGATTTATTTTGTGAACCACCTAAAGTTACAAATAATGGTGCTGGTGATGGCGATCATGTGGTGAATGTTGGTCCACCAGCCGAACAGAAGGCGTACAGTTTTCGGAGAGAGCGGTTGAAAGACTTCTAGTGGCTCCGCTATGAAAATGGTTCTATGCACTGCGTTCACTGTAAAGCCTGCGGGACGGAGTTTGCAGGTTACAGCGTTCGCCACCGAATCTACACATTTCGTAATTGTTGTTTTACGATGTGCGGTTTGACATTATCGAGCATATTGCAAAGTCAAATCCAAACAAAACACACCTACAGAGTGTGCACGCACACATGACGTGAAGTCTATTAGGTTAGAGTAGTGCGCGTGCGCATTTAGAGTGCGTTCTTTAACGCCATGATTCAGTCTATTAAAATGCATCACACAATTCAAGATATGGGGTCTTTACATCATTTCATATCGTTCAGGGGTAGGCAAAATGTCCTGCAGAGTTTAGCTCCAATCCTGAAAAAAAAACTCACTAGTCTGTAGCCTCCGTAATCCTGAAGACCTTGACTAGCTTGTTCAGGTGTGTTTGATTAGGGTTAGAGCTAAACTCTGCAGGACAGCGGCACTCAACGTTGCCTATCCCTGATATAGTTCATCAATATCACAAGAAGAGTGCCGTTTCCTGCAAAAAATCAGCCTGATTACAAATGTGATATTGATTTTATACAACTGTTCAATAAAAAAAGAAGTTACTATTAAGACACTATATTTCCTCTTTTTGCTCTATTTCGCCAGCAAAAATAATTCCAAGCACAGTCACAGCGCTGTTTTACGTCTCCGAGCAGCATGACAGCGTTTCGTTTCGTTCCTGAATGAATCATTCGTCAAATGATTCGGTTCAATCTCAATGACTCACTTATTAACAGTGACTTGCTGCCACCTGCTGGTGGTTTTAATTTCACATTTAAAGTTTCAAATATTTCAAATATCAGTATTCAACGTTTTATGTTTACAATATTAAAATATTATTTATGCATTCATGTCCTGCATTAATCAGTGTGTAAATGCATCTAAATGCCACTTCAGAAGCAGCTTCTGTTTCCTCTGCATTGCAAAGATGAATTTTGTTGATTGATACTTTCATTTGCTTGGTAACAGCCCAAATGTCTTGATATAATTGACTGATTAAATATAAGAATTTGACTCAAATGATAATGCACACTTTTAGAAAAAATGACCATAAAAGGTAAAAATCTATTTAAACTTATTGGAAAAGATTCATTTCTGTCACTGCTGTGAACTGACCACCACACAGAATATGAATATTACAAATTTTAGGAGTCAGCTGTCCACTGTAGTCCTTAAATTATCAGCACAGTAACACTCAGTCAAATTATTGTTATCGATAAAATCCCAGAAAATATCGAGATATCATTTTTTGTCAATATCGCACACCCCTAGCTGCCAGTCGTTCGGTGCAACTGGCAGAGCTGAATGTAAAATTTAACACCGCATACACCATCCTAACCCTCGGCAAAGAAGAGCTTAACTTTAGGTTATTTACAAAAGAAATCTGTCAGTGTTCTTTTCATTTTCTCTCTTCTTCAGCCCTTTCTTTTTCTCGCGGTAGTTAGCGGAAAGCAGTGACTGGGTGATTGACAGGTAATATTAACCAATACAAAATCTGCATTAAAGTTAAGAATGTAAGGATAAAATATGTTAATATATCATTTGTAGTTGTGGTGCTCCTAAATTTTTGCTGGTGCTCCTAACTTTTTGAAGTTGGGAGCACCAGTGCTACCAAGTAAAAAAGTTAATTTCGAGCCCTGTTATTAAAATTTATTGTCATTAAACAATAATCATTAATTATAAAATCACACATAATTGGCTATTTCTGGATGCGAAATCAAACACTGACACGATTTACCAAGTAGGTGCTTTTAAACCAAAGTAACCTACAAATGGCAATGAAACATGACCAGACAATGTGGTTTGTGTTTGATAAGAAACATGAAACATGCTCATGGATATCCATCCAAGATAAACCAACATACACTGTAACCATTAAACATGTTGCTGAAGTTAAAAGCAGTGGAAAACGTATAAAATCGGCCAGTGAGCTCGAAGCAGCAACACATGCTCAATGTAAACAAGATTCTTCCACACATTAACATCTACAACCAGGTGTCCGATGTGGATTTCAACAGCTTCATAGAGATTCAGAGCAAATGCTGGACGGTCCAAAGCTCAATCTGAAAACATAAAAATCTCACGCTCGCACAGCGTACAGGAAGCGTCAGAGCACATCCTTCATTAAACATTCATAACACAGACTTCGAGCCATTAAATATTCACTGGGGACGACACTGGACACAGGTTAGTCCTGTTCACGGACACAAAGCCCTCTCACAACAATATTACACGGGAAACAACCAGCACTGCTGCAGATCTGATGAAGACTTTCTAAAACCTTGTTAAGACCAACTTAGGAAAATGTAATAAATTCAGGGGAACACGACACGTCAATATGGTCT